GTATATATATATATGTATGTATATGTATATATTATATATATAATTATATATATTCATTCATATCTTTTTGACGTGCGTTCATCAAATACTATTGCTGTACAGTATTGGAATGCCGTAGAGCGTGAAATGAATTGCCTCCAATCTGATTCGAACTTCCAATGAAAGCCTCAATGGCCCATTGGTTAAGGCATCTACATAGACAGCATCTGTAATACAGTGTTAGCATGTGAGTTAAGTGCTAATAATACACAGTGAAGATTCGAAACACTTTGTGTGGGCAATAAGAGGGCAAAAGTGGATGATGAAATAATTTATATTAGGAATTTCGCCAATGAAGCTTTACTTGGTGACTTAGGGTGGCAGTCTATGGAAATATTCAAAATAATTTTGGAATAAAATATTTTGATAAGCTTAAAACAATGGATAAAGATAGATTGCCTAGACTATTGTGTAAATCACGTATGGAGAGGTAACCACTTGCACGAGGGAAATGAATCGATAACATAAAAGGATTGTTAGACAAATATAATTTAAATTATAAATTTAAATAATTTGGAAACACAAAATACGCAATGAGTAAAATATTTTAATATTATGATCTCCGATAACAATGATGAAGACTGGTTTCAAAAAGCAACAAAAAAAAAAACAAAAAAAAAAAAACCATTACTAAATGATTACATTATACTAAAATGCACCAAATCGAGAGTATTACCTTTTGGAAAAAATTGAATTTCAAAGGTACACATTTTAAGTTTAAACTAGAACTAATTTTAGACCTTGAAGGTAGAAAACGGGAATGGTCAGATACGCACTCGGGCCATTGAGTTATTTGTAAAATTGTTATTATTATTATAGTATATTTTTTTTTCCCCACTCAACTTGTATTCACATTAATACCATAAGAAGAAATGCTCTCTTATTGTTACCTTAAAAGAGAACTAGCAAAATGATCTTTTGTTCTAGAGAGGATTTTTGATATGCCATTAATAATAGAATCAAACTTAAAATCTTTTTTTGGCTATTTTTTATGAAGTTATAGGCGATTATATACGATTTTACAATGACGTCACTGGCGAAAAAGTAACAAAAGATCGTGTAAATAGCGCCGCGTAGGGTATCCACCGCGTAGGGTATCCGCCGCGTACGATCTTTGCGTGCATACTGTAACAATCACAATTTACAGCCATGGTTACAGCATACACGCAAAGATCGATTTTAAGGTTGATTCTATTATTAAACTATTAAAACTTATATATTCTCGATCTTCAGATGTAGTATGGTCGTAGATATGGCAGACTTCTGCATTTGGAAGGAAATTCGTTTCTGATTGCTTTAGTATTTGTTTCAATTGCATTGCTTGAAAAAGGTCACCGTAATTTTTCACTTTTCTATTAGTGCTATGTTGACCGCCCACCGCGCGTAGAGGCTGCATTTTGACCTCTTTTTAGTGACTTCGTTTAAATTGCCATTTCGGCTGTTCACCAATCAAATATCTTGTTGTTCATTCTCCCCAGTAAACGGAAAGCTGAATATTCATAGATTCTTCTCATATAAAATATATAAATTGCAATTGGATGAAAACACTATTCAAAAACACCATCAAAACACTAATTTCAATATGAATGAACAATCCTGTCTAGGCATTATGCCCGAAAAAATGCGAAGCTTTGGTATAGCCTTCCGCTACCATTGTCAGAGGTCTACAGGCCCTGGCCTTAAAAAAAGAAAAAAAGGGGGAAAATAATTACCTCCAGCGACTTCGTTGGCTTTAAATTGCCATTTCG